ACATTCTTTAACTATATTCCTACCTGACCTAACGGGCCCCAGAGAGCCCTGGTGGTGTAATGGGTTCCGTGTTGGGTTGCTCACTGAAAGGTGAGTTGTTCAATTCCACTTGCCTCTTTGAGGGAGAACGATGAGGCTGTTTGCGCCCGTAAAGATGTACTCTCTGGGAACCCGGGGCAGTTCTTCTCTACTCTATAGGGTTGTCCTGAGTCAGAATCGACTCGATGGCACTGGGTTTGGAAAGAGCCCTGGTGGTACAGCGGTTAAGCACTGGGGTGTCAACCCCAACATTGATGTTCAAGCACAATGTGGCGCTGTGAGAAAAAAGACCTGGTGACTTGTGGCCATGAAGAGTACAGCCCCGAAAACCCTCTGAGGCTGCCGTGTCTCGTCTCATAAGCAATGTGCTCGCAAACAACAGCACCACAGTTGATCTAATCTTTTCCTAGGTTGCTTCTTAGAAGATGCAAAGAAATCAAAACCTCAAACTAGAGTTTACGCGAACAACAAACCATCCAATTTCATATTTCAGCCTTATGCTCTGGTCTCTAGATTGAAAAGGAAGAGGTATTTGTGAGCAATGTCTTTGCTGAGTCAGATAACAATTTGAATCTTTTCTCAATATTTTGTGCTATTCATAATTCAATGACTACAGATGTAACATATTTCTAGGTGTAATCTGTGTTGCTACCATCTTACCCACCACTTTCATCAGTATACCACAGACCCAGACTGATTTGGCCTACTGCCCTCTTTTCAGGGAAAAACAAAATCATACCATAGCCCATACTTAAGGATAAAGTGTGGGTGTCTGCTGTGGCAGCCCCCTTTGGGAGACAGAGGACAAGCCAGTCAACAAAACAATCAGTCAGGCATTAGCCAATTACCAGGATGCAGACACTCCCACCATGACGGACTCCAAGCTAGGAGCCTGGCATCACTGAATGTGGAAGAGTCGCGGTGCGCCATTACGTGACAGCCTCCACATAGACGCGGTGGCCCTGCATGACCCCAGGATCACAGAGAATAGTGAAAACACGGTAAAATAATGAGGTAGCAATGAGTTTTGACTATATATTATCTTTATTTTAATGTAATTTATTTCTTTGTAAATGTAGATAATAGAAATAGTGGCTGTGTTTAACAACTCATTGGAATTTTTTCTGACACTGTAATAGTTGACTCTTACAAGCGACTGTGCTTGGAACAAACCCATAGGAATCACAAAGGCCTATTTCCTGAATCATCCTTCTTCAATCCAACAGTAAATTATGTTGACTCTATCTCTCATATTTTGAATCTGATCATTTCACTCCTTCCATCCTAGTTCCCGTCATCATCACCTCATCCCTGGGCCCCATCAATGGCCTCCAAATAATTCTCCCTGCCTCCACCATACAGTGGCTAGAGTTTTGGCTTTAAGATGTCTATCACAGCACATCCTTTCTCATCTCAGATTCCTCGGTATCTTCCCTTTGTCCAGAAGAAAACCCAGGCTTTTACCAATAAGATCCGCCACCATCTGAGTGCAGCCTGCTTTACAAGCTCATCTTGTCCGTTGTCCTGCATAAGAGCCACTCTGGCCTACTTTCTTCTGGTAAAACACACTGACTTGGTAATCACTTATTCCTCCATCCAGGAATGCTATTACTCCACAACATTCCATGGCTGCTCCCTTCTCCTGGTTTACACTCCTGTTGAAGTGTTGCAACGTCAGAAAAGTCTTCCTTGACTGCTTTTGCTAACGTAGCTCTTTCCACTCTCCAATACCACTACACTCTGTCACATAATTTAATTTAATTAAAACTGCTAGCAGATTCCTTACCCGTTTATGCCTCAGTATTCACTTTAGATGGAGCCAGCAGGGATACCTTTCCTCATCTTAGAGTGATGAGAGTCAAAGGAGTTCATATACATAAAGACATTTACTGTTGCCTGGATCATAGTAATTTTTATACAAGTTCAGCTGTGATATTGTTATCATTGTTGTTTGTGGTAATTACATAATCTGGTGTCAATTTGGGACTTGAGCGGATTATGAGAAGGGGTGGAGTCTAGGCTGCCAATCCGGTCATAGCCAATGAGGCCTCTGTGTGCGCATGGCCTTCTCCTGAGAATTCTGGGAATTGCTAAATTTCCTCCTTGGAGGTGGAAGAGACTCGCTCTCACTACTCACTCCCTTGGAGACTTTCTTTCAGCTTACTCCCTGAGAGACGCTCTACTGACACAACACATGTCGCTACACCATGGGAGCTGGAGAAGCCACATGGACCTACTCTGATACAACCAGACCTCTCGAGCCGGAGAAGCCACGTAGAGACCCCTGCCGGTGCTGAGATGCTTACAATGGCACTGGATCCACAAGACTTCCAACCCACTGGCCTGTGATCCTCCTGCATTCGGCATCATGGCTCATGTATTTCTTGAGTCTGAAGAGGACTTTATAGATTGGTAACAAACATATGGGCTAATATTAGACTTATGGACTTGATCTGAACTGGGCTGGGACATTTTCTCAATATTTAATTGCTCTTGTATATAGACCTCTTTCTTCTACACATATGCGTGTCTACAAATTTGTTTCTCTAGTCTACCCAAACTAACACATTGTTTTTATTAAAGTAACCAAGGTCCTTAATCACTTTCTGAAATTAGCTTATACATTCATCTGTTTGCTTATTTTCTGTCTCCTCTAATGTAACTTAAGCTCAATGAGAACAGGAACCCTGAATGACTTATGCATTGCTGAATCAAAGCAACTAGAATAGTGCCTGACACACACACGCTAAGTATGCAATAAATATCTTTTGAGTGAATGTGTGTATAAATGAATGAACACCAAAACTGTCTGATGATACCACTCTGAGCCTTCATTTAATTTTAGAAGAAAAAAATTATCCCAGAGGCTCATGCGCAGCATGATTGTCAAGGTTTCCGTGTGCTTGACAAGGACACATGTCAGCAAGGACTTGCGTGCCCTTTGGTCCCGGTCCTTCTTGGGTGCTCAGTGTGCAGTGTTGCGGTGGTTTTGACTGTTGGGAACACTGTGGGTGCACTTAGTGAGGCCGAAGTGGAGAGCTAGTCATTTCGGTTTATAATGATGAATGAGCCCTGACTCAGCCTGGGATTCTCTGAAACAGCTTGACACGTGGGCATCTCAAGCCTCAGAACACCTTTGTTCCCCTTAATGAATAAGAGGTTCATCAATGGTGACCTTTAGAGAAAACTAGAGTTGCCTAAAGAAGATTTCTAGCCGTTGTTTGAGTAATTGTTTGGATCAGATACATTATCTATGGGGGAAAAATCAGTGATCGTGTACTCATACATCTTGAACCTGGGGAGTTGCTTTAAAAACTGATACGACGAGGATGGGAGGGTGGGAGGGAAGGGGAAAATGAGGACCTGGTATCAAGGACTCATGTAGAAAGAAAATATTTTGAAAATGATGATGGAAACATGTACAAATGTGCTTGATGTAATTGATGTATGGATTGTTATAAGAGCTGTAAGAACCCCCCAAAAACTATATATATATATATATATAAAAAAAAAAAAAACACAATAGGGTGTATATATATATATATATATATATACACACCATAATGTCATTTTTCATTTAAATCCCTGATGTGTCAAAAGAGAGCAGGACTTGGGATCTGTTGATGCCCCGCTCTTTCACGCTTCCATAGCTCTTTGAGGACTGAGTGTCCTTACTCCTCAACACTGCGCCTTCAGGTCCCTACACAAGACCTGCACAGAATAACAAGACAGAACCTCATGTTTAAAATTGGATAGCATTCGAATATGGCACCTGAAATCCTAAGAAGGGACTTAGTGCCACTCAGCAGACTTTCAGGGACCGGAAAGTAGACATACTGCTCCACTCCCCAACAATTCCTCTTAAAGAGGCCGTGAGCAGAAAGAGGGAAAGCTTTGGAATCAGTCAGCATTTTAGCTCCTGACTCTGCTACAAAAATGATCTTGAGCAAGTTACTTTAACTTCTCTGAGTTTCCCTTTTCTCACCTGTCAACGAGGATAACACTGTTATCTGTGGGGATTGCTACAAGAGTGTGTGAACCTTTCAGCCAGAAGTAGGTACCGACTGAGCATTCATGACTGGAAACTGTTGGCATGACTGGTGCAGAGCGTTTTATTGGCTGCGTATTATCAGTAAGCAGAAGGGGTTAGGAGGACGGTAGCACTGGGCCCAATAGTGTAGGCCCACAGTCGTTACCAAACTAGGGTTGTGTTAAGAAATTGGAGCAGGGCGAGGGTAGGCATGTGGATGAGGACATGAGGATGAACTGGGAAGAACAAAGAAAACAGTTCAGGGAATGAGGAACAGATCAATGTTCATGAATAGAAAGTGTATTGGGAGTGGCGGCTGGGTTGTTCTCAAACGCTAACGAACCCATATGCTTCCACTAAATACCTGCTTTACAGAGGCAGAACACGCCAAGACCACATACTATGCATCTTGATGTATAAAAACATGGTGGCTGGCTGATTTTAAATTCATGTCTAAGGTATTTATGGTTTAATGCAGAGGCTATTGGATAGCATGTGCCGCTTTGGGTATTGGTTGCATCGTGTGGGGAGGGTGAAAGTTTCTGGCCCACGCTGACCAGGGAAAGGTGAGTCAGGAGCCGAGGGACTGGAGAGGAAGAAGAAACAATAGTGAATGTGAAAGGGAAGGTTCCCCGGATGAAAGCAGAAAGTGACAGCACCTTGTTGGAGGTCAAGTTGAAGAAGAATGTACAAACAAACGGCTCTAGTCTCATCCTTCAAGGCTGCAACCTATAACTTCCCAGCCTCAAAAGGAATAAACGCACTAACATTTGAAGAAAAAAAAGTGTCCCCTGCCACTGTGACAGCTTTGTGACCCACAGATGTGTTTGTTATAGGTTGGTACGCAAGAGAGTCAGTTGACAGAAAGGGGAAGAGTTCGCCCGACAGAGGCAAGCTGGTGTCAGCAGCACATGAAGGGACATGGTTCGTGATGACGGCGAAGATAAGAGTGAGATTTAACAATGAACGGCGGAGAAAAGACAAGGGTAACATTGACCACCTTTTACGAGGCATGCGCATTCATACCATCTCCTCCAGTTACGTACCAAACCCACGAAGTCGATATGGTTTTCACTCACGCAGGTGAAGAGACAGAAGTTCAAAGAAGTCACCGTTAATCGCATTGCTTGTAAATAGCAGAGCCAGGATTAGAACTGGCTGTATGCAGCGTTAGAAAGCCCACAGTATTTCCATTCGAACAGCTGCCTTGGAGGACAGCTGGGCCGAGAAAGGAAGTGCTAAGACTGGTGTGAGAGAGCAGAAATGGCATCTTCTTCGAATGGTGGGGGAAATGCAAATCGAGCATGACTAGAAAGACAAAAAGAGGAAATGAGAACGGGCGGACCACAAGGTGATAATGAGATGCACACCACCTGTGTTTCCTTTGGCCAATGAGGCAAGGCTCTGCGTCAGGGACAAAGTGACAGAGGGGCACAGAAAGCCCCAAAGAGACTCTCATTGATCACCACCAAAATGCTCCCGGCTGACAATGCTGACCCATTCGATTTGAAAAATCCCCCAAACGGTAACAATGGACAGACGCACTGCTGACTGCAAGCAGGGCTTCACGAAACCCATCTTTTCAAGGCAGAGAGTACAGAAAGGAGGTCAGAGAGACAGAATCTACAGAGGTCGTTGTAGGGAGTTTGGCTGCTTAGAGAGACCAGCCTGGGGGAGAAAAACAACCGCTTTGCATAGGCGGAAACCAGGGCTTTCAGAGCTTGAAGACTTGCCCTGTGCTTGAGTTTCAGAAGCCAAATCTAGCGTGCTTTGTGCGGTACCATTTTGCATCTCAGTTTGGAGGGTAAATTTTGGGTGCTGGGTACCAGAGGGAAATCTTTGCCATGAACTTTACAGCTTTATTTATTTTCTTAATAAATAGAACGCTACCTTCCACATGAAAATGACGGTCATCTTATCAGTGTTGCGTTGTTTTGGTTTGTGGTAGTGCAGGTTTACCTAGAACCTTAATCATCTATCGGGTAGTAACGAACAAAGGAAGATGCCGGCTTTGCAAAGCGACGGCAGGCTTTCCTGCAGGCCTGTTTGTTCAAGGTGCACAGGACACAGCGATTAGCAGAAAGCAATGGCTACCTTCATTATCATTCATGAAATTCAATTGACTATCGACAAGTGTAAGCCTCCTCCCAGAGGCTGCCATCACTGCTTCTCACATAAACGTGGTGAGTCAAATGGAGTGAATTTCCTCTGGCCCATTCAGAACAGGATGAGTACATCTTCAGGCCAGGCAAGAATTTGCACTGGATAGACTCAGAGTGACCAAAGTCATGCGCACATTCTCAAGATGTTTAGATTACACATTCTGTTTCTTCTTTAAGGAAATAGGGGAGAATGCTCATTCTAATCCAGATTTCCGTAATAGACTAAAGATAAGAATTATAGTTAATGTGACTGTGGATAGTCTCCTGCTTCATCCTATTGGGATAAAAGGCATTCTTACCAATTATTCTTCAGCATAAGTGGCTCAGGGACTGCATGGCAGCTCCCCACCATGCAGCACAAAGCATCGCCTTGATCTCTCTCCTGGGGTCTTTATGAGCCAACAGGGTGATGTGTTCATTTTTCTTTTACATTTGATTCACAATTCAAAGTATTTTGTAAGAAACCCCCCAACAATATTATTATCGAATCCGACCTGGGTAAAGTCATCTTAAGGAGAAGTTACTCTGTCTTTTTTCTTTGCTTAAATTCCTAAATTCAAACCGACTAGAAATGGCGAACAGGTTGCACTTCAGAAGGCACAGAGATGCTTGTTCCGATACGACAAAAGACACACGGAGGATACTGATGGGAGAAGCATGTGGGAGAAGAGCTCGGCACTCTTAGCTGTTGGCTGCTAAGCAACGTGTTGGCATCAAACCCACCCAATGGCTCAGTGGGACAAAGACCAGCATCTGCACTTAAAAAGCTTTGGGTCAAGAACCTCCCTGAGTCAGTTCTACTGTTACGTGGGGTTGCCATGAGTCCGAATTGACTTGGAGACATCAAAAACACCACCTAAACCACCCGCACCAGCCGCCACCACTCAGTGCTCCACCTCCTCTCGTGGTTTTGCTTTCTTTCATTATGTCCTTTCTTTCTTATGTGCTTGCTGGTCCCCATCCAGTCCTCCCTCTGGGCGTCTATTGTCCAGGACACGCCCGGCTCTGCTCCAGCTCTCTGAATAAGTCCACAGCCTGCTTGCACACGTCTGCCATCTCCACCGACCACAGCCTGTCCAGGAGAGAAAGCTCAGCACCTTAGTTGAAGCACTTTCCAGCCTTCTAAGATTGCCTCCTGCTGTTGGCAGTTGACTCTGGACAGCCCTCCTCACTCACTGCCATCAGTGGATTCTGACTCATGCTCTAGGACAGAGTAGAACAGCCCCTGCAGGTTTCTGAGGCCCTCCATCTTCATAGTAGAAAGCTTCATCTTCCTCCTACCAAGCATCTGGTGGATTTGAACTGTTGATCGCGCGGTTAGCAGCCCACCTGTAATCCATTACACTACCCGAGTTCCCGAGACCAAACCAGAAGATCAAACTCACTGCCGTGGAGCTGATGCCGACTCACAGCAAACCTGTAGGACTGGGTCGAACTTGCTCTGTGAGTTCCCAAGACTGTACCTCTTCACTCGAATGGAAAGTGGCTGGTGGTTCCTGCTGACATTGCAGATGGCAGCTCAATGCTGCACCATTTTTTATAGCCAGAAGAGGCGGGAAAGGCCTGATTGAGGGAGGTGAGATGGAAGATTTTGCATAAATGGAACTAAGGTGTCCTGGGAAGCAATTCTGCTCCCATAGAAAATCCCTAGGATTCTGTAACTTTTTTAACCATAAGACTCCGTCTTACCCAAGGCCACACAGTGACTCCTTTAATGCCAAGATTTGTGTAACCCAAGTGAATACTGGGCCAGGATTGCCCCCCTTAAACCATGGGCAAGACACTGACCACCCTCTCCTGCCAAGATAGTCCACAATGTGGTCACACTGAGAGGAACCTGGGCCCAGGATAACAGTCAGAGCCAAGGGCAGCCGGCCCGTCGGGAGCTGGGTTAGTCACATCCTCATTCACTCTGTTAGCTACGACTTCCTAAACTCCATGGGCTCACACATAGGAAAGACTGCCAGGACAGGTAGGACCGGGCACCCGCCATAGGGTTTCAGAGGAGAAGCTAGTCTCACCTCTCTCCCAAGGACTGGCTGCAGGGTGAGCTGCTTTCCTTAAGGCCCAACACTTACTCTAGAGAGCCACTAGGGCTCCTTTTGCCTCCAAGATTAGCAATCCAGTTCCTATAGATCTTCTCCCTCATAGAGAATACCCTCCTCGTGTCTTTTCTTAGGAGTCTAGGTGATGCAGTGGTTAAGTGCTCAGCTGTCAATGGAAAGGCCAGCTGCCCAAACCCAGCAGCCAGGCCCCAGAACAGAGTAGTCTGCTTCCGTCAACAGTACAACCATAGGAACCCTCTGGGGCAGTTTGTTATATAAAAACAAACGAAGGCGGAGCACAGCACCAGGCCGTGGGGTGTGGCTGACATTGATAGAGGAGGATGGGCCTGTGCCATTGGACCGTGCTGAGACTTGCCCTTGGTTGGGGGAGGCATCTTCAAAGGGAGCAGACAGGCCCAGAGGCTAACATTCTGCCCACTGAACTAATTTAGTCCTTCAGGCAGGAGTTCGGCTAATAGTCAAGACAATAGGTAAAAAGATGACGAAACTGGGAAAGGCAGGATAAAGGCCCAGCCAACTAGATCAGGCTGGAAAGTGGGGACCAGAGGGAGACCATGTGTTCCAGGGCTCTAGCAAGATGGGCTGTGTGCACCCATGAAGCAGGTGAAGCAAGGCAGGGAGTAGGAGCCAGCTGAGCCACCACTTGTTTGTCTGGATGATACAGAAGCTGTCGGAGGGTGGACGTAGTTTCAAGAAGCAGAATCCAGTTTTCCATCCACAAGGATGGTCATGTTTACAAGCACAGAGCGCATTAACATGGGGCCATCGGAAAAGCACCGTGCAGAAGTTCGGAATCCCGCATGGAGGCAGAACTTACAAACTGGAAGATACTCGTTGCAGCAGAAAGTACGTATCAGATTTCGGTTGTCAGACGGCAAGGGGTCTGGGGGATCCTATCACCATGGCAAAACCAGAGACCAGGTTGATTCAAGAAATTATTCCTGCAAGCGCTTGTAGAAAGAAAGCAGGCGGGTTTCTCCTCTGAGCTGTTTCAGAGTTCAGTGCTGACCTACAAGTTGAAATACCCAAAACAGGTGTGTTTTGTTGTTGTTGTTTTTACAATTGTTAAAGGAGGAGACAGCAGGTTTGTAACACAAGGTCACAAGATGAAACTGACACTGAGAAGGCAGGTTCGACAGTGATCCTTAGGACATGGTCTCCACCTACATTTATCCAGGGGCCGTTAGCTCACCATCCGCTGAAACTTCAAGGACCCTTGTTTATTATCCAAATTCGGTGATGTTTCCTGTCTGGATACTTATCTTACTGATCTGGTGAGCCTCCAACCCGGATTAACACATTGCTGCTGATTAAGCTTTACAGGAAGTTTGACTCTAAGGGAGGGGACTGTCACATCTTGGATTCTTAATAAACTACATGTTAAATTATGTTATATTTCCAGCATTGACTTCCCCAATAACACTTCCAGGAGCAAGAAGGGCTCCTGGAAGGTGATTGGCTGGGACACCTACCTGGATGAACAGCTGGAGACATCTCAGCAGATCTGGGTAAACCTCTTCTCAGGGTGCACCACCAGCGGCCGAGGGCCAGACCAACAACCTCAGCACAGAAGCCTGGGGCTTGGAGGAGGGGGCACAAGCTGGAGCTCAACCCCCCCTGGAGCCCCGAGCCCGTGGCTGGGATAGGTGGGATTCCAGTTCTTCAAGAGAGAACTCAGTAGCACAGTGTACACCCTGCAGAGCCCAGGGTAGTCAATATTTGATCAAGATAGAGCCACAGGTTTAAAAACAACAACATACAACCGAAAAAAATCTCTCGTCGTACAAGTGCCTATTTGTTGCACGCTCTTCATTTACCGCTGCCCTTTCGGGATTCTTTTACATTCTAAGGAATTTCCCATCTATTTTCTAGGGCAATTTACATCTCTTGCAGGCCTCAGGCAAGCACGGCGATGCAAACACACAAACAACCTGGGTCTGTTCCTGTGGAGGAGAAATGACTGCGGCACCCGGCAGCTGCCGGAACAAACTCATCTTTCCATCAACTGCCCTTAGTCACCTTGAGCATGTTACACGCACTAGCAGTCAATATACACAATGGAAGCTTCCAGAAGTTTGTTCCCTGGGTGAAAGAGGGAATGTGTGAATGTCCCTTATAGGCACAACAGCCCACAGCAGTTTTGATTTTTCTCCTTATTCACAACTTGCTGTCATCCTGGTCTCCCTCTGCTCCTGTCTGCTCAGATAGAGTTCCTCTCTAGCTCACCATCGTGATGAGCACTTCGATGTCCCTCTCCATCCCTCCCACCTCGAATCCCAGCCGCCTTTCTCTGACCTTTGTTCAAGCCATGTGGCCTCCTGGCTGTTTCTCGAACCAGCCCACCATGTCTTCGTGGGCTGCTGTCACAGAAGCACCACTGGTCCGTGACTGGGGAGCGCAGAAATGGATTTTCTTCCAGTCCTGGAAGCCGAAAGTGCAAACCAAGGCCCGAGTGTCAATTCCTCTCCGTGGAAGCCCCCGGCGTTCCTTGCTTCCTTACCATCTGTTGGCTCCTAGACCCTCTCGCCTCACAGCCTGCATTTTTCACTGTCCGTCTATCTCTGGGTCTGTTCTGGTTTTTATTAGTCAAACGTGACTAGGCTTAGAAATACCCCAAATAGGCATGAGCTCATGGACCCAACAGAGAGAAACCCATATTTCCAAATGGTCACAGTTCCAGGAGCCCAGGGTTAGGGTTTTAATGCATGCTTTTGGAGGACACAAAGTTCAATCCCTAACATGATAGTTCTACCTTCGAACCTTCCCTGTACCTCTTCTCTCTGTCCTATTGCTCCCTCCTTCTAGCCTTTGTGCAACCAAGCACGCACCCCACCTTTCTTAGTCCCCCCAACCCAGCCTACTCAAGTGATTTCTTTCTCATCACCCATCCCTTTGTGAGACCTTTCTGATTTACTTACTTATTATTCTTCTTGTTACCGTTCTGCTATTAGAATGCAAATTACACAAGGGATCTCTTCTGCTCAAACACAGGACAGTGTCTGGAAGTAGTAGACAGTGTAGACAGTTGAATGAATGAATGAATGTTCTCAGTATGTGCTCTGCCATCTAAACCCTTCTCTGGTAGCACATTGACAGCCTGCCCGCTGGGCCATCTTGATTGTTCTTTGGGCATCTGTTGCTCGTTCATTTGATCATCCTGTAAGTGACCCTTATCAGAAGCTCCTTTCCTTTTTTAAATTTGAAAATGACTATAGAAAATGCCATAAGTATAAAATGTCATCCTCATACTTCTAGCTATTTATTTAAATAACACATTTGTCTCAAGAGGACATCAGGAGAGCATCTTAGCCAGGTCCTGTGAGGTAAAGGGTTCCGTGGGGTCTAAACTTTCGGACAAACACGTGCTACTCTCTACTTTGGTAAACTATTGCAGCACAATCTCCTCTTGTTGCTAAACATGTGACTATCTTGCTTTAATTGGAGCCTTAATTTTGCTTTAATTGATTCTCTCTCAACATGGGACACAAGTCACCAGATATCTCTTTCCCCAAAGCCTTTCATTTGCTTGAAGAAAGTTAAGAATTCTGGTCTACATATGAGACACCCTCAATACCATTACTCTTTCTACAGGGGACACAGTGCTTTTCTGAAAACATGTTTCTTTAGCAAATAAATGTCAAAATGTGACACCCTTTGGGTGCCACAACAATTTAATGAATGCAGCAATTTGTCCCATGTCAAACTTTGAGTGGTAAGCAGGATTGTATTGATGAGGAGACTATAATATAATTTAGTTTCAAAGAGTTTTATTTAATATATTCATGGAAGCAGAAATATTTTTAAGAGACAGCTTCAAAGTGATCTAAAACATGGGAAGATGAGTTAATATGTTATTTGAAAGTGAAAAACTGCACGGAGAAATGCCTAAAAGAACTTGAGTGGATGGTCGAAGTTTTAAGAAGAGGACTGACAGCATAATGTTTCAAGATACATGTGCCCGCCCACTTGCTGGAGAAAGGACCCTGGGACTTAGAATGCAAATAATGGCCACAGATTCACAGCATGCAGAAATTGAAAGCAATCTTTTCTTAAGAGACGGCAGGTTTAGACCTGAATGAACTGAAGGTTACATGAAGGGCTGGAGATGAGGAAAAGTGTTGCTTTTATGAAAGCAATTAATACATTCTCTGTGATAAATTATAAGCCCCTAAAGTACCTTGAAATCACTATGCAGTGACAGCAGGCAGCAGTATAAGTACAAGTATAAGAGAGAAAAACATTTCTATACACAGCAATAACATTTGAATATAAGTGGAAATAGCATATATACTATTAGCCAGAAATGATAGCTCTTTAAATATTGACATAACACCTCAGATATTTCATAACACAAGCATGTCATTCACACTGTGCCTTATATTTAATGAGAAAAGTATTATTGAACACTGTCATAAGCACTTGGGCCACCAGAATGAACAAGAACCGCCATGTTCTCCTTAAGTTCAGAGGACAGATAAGTATTCAAATCACAGTCTATATCATTTGAGATTGTTTTAATGGGTTATGTATTTAAGAAATCACCAGAAGTCTACTTGTGTACATAGACCTAAGCAGCATTGTGGTAGGTACATAATCTTGTGTCAACTTGAGGATATTAGGAGTGAAGGGGTGGAGTCTAGCTTGTCAATCAGGCCACAGCCTGATGGTGCCTCCTTGTGGGCGTGACCTTCTCATGAAGATTCTGGGAACTTCCTCTCTCCTTCCAGGTGGACCACACTCACTCTCTGCATCACCTTCCTGGTGGAGACATTCAGAGAGCTGGAGGAGCCAGCGAGGAGATGCTTCCACCTGTGTTGGAGCCACAAGACTTTCCACCGACAAGCCTGTGATCTTCCTGCATATGGCATCATTGCATGTGCTGCATGAGTCTGAAGAGGGATTTATGGACTAATAGCAAACATATGGGCTAATATACAACTGGTCATTGATAGCAAGCTCTCTCTTACACATATATGAGTGTCCTTGGATTTGCTTCTCTAGTCAACCCAGACTAACACCTGTGTTCATTCACAGATGTGTGTCAAGCAGATCACACAGCTGAAAGCCGCAGCAGCTTCCTATGCTGGTGGTGGGTACCTGAACTGCAGGTGACTATGAGTCATTGACTGTCCTCCAGAACAATGTTTCTCAATGTGGACCACAACCCAGTCTGCATATGACTCATGAGTTGAGCTTTTTAGAAATGCAGACACTGGACCCTTCCCAAGAACCTGATACATCTTATCTGGGCGTCGGATACTGGGGTCTTCATTTTAAAGGCTATGACCATCTAACTCTCAGGCAATGTTTCAAAAGGGTGCTTTTGAGTCTGATATATGACTTTCATACATTTAAACCCTTGACCTGTTGGTAAACATCAAAGCACATAGATATCAATTGCTTTATTTTACAGTGACACTATGTTGTTAACTTAGTTCTGTTCATTGTCACATATGAGACTATTATTTCCTAATATACTGAGGACAACCCAGTTATTTCCTTGTTTGCATTTATGTGCTTGCTTTCATTTAATTATATCATTTTATACTTCTCTCTACTAAATCAATTCCGTGTTTGCTGAGATTTTAAAAAATAAGCTGGCTACTGTTGTAAATGATCTCTCTATTTTTGCAGTGCGTTAGTCTGGGTGGACTAGAGAAACAAATTCATAGACACTCATATGTGTATAAAAAGAGAACATTATGTAAAGAGCAATTGAATATTAAGAAAACATCCCAGCCCCATCCAGATCAAGTCCATAAGTCTGACATTAGCTCATATGTCTGATACTAGTCTATAAATTCCTCTACAGACTCATGCAACACATGCAATGATGCCAAATGCAAGAAGATCACAGGCCATTGAGTGGAAAGTCTTGTGGATTCAGTGGTAGTGGAAGCATCTCAGCGTTGGCATGGGTTTCCACTTGACTCCTTCAGTTCTAGGGCTCTGGCTCCATCAGTGTAGGTCCACGTGGCTTGTCAACAGGAATTTGAAGCAGCGTGTGTGTCCCACCTCCAGGGAGGAAGACTGGAGTTCCCAGAATCCTCAGAAGAAGGCCATGCCCAAACAGAGGCCTCATTGGCCATGACCTGATTGGGTCCATGATGATGAACATATTTACTAGGGCCATAATCAGCTTCTTCTCTTCTTTCATTTATAAAGATAAACAAGAAAACCTCTTCTCAGCTCCCTTCTTGGAATGATTTCTATGGAGCGTTACCCTCCCATTAAGCAGTGACATCATTAGGGTGTCATCCAGTGTAGTGACTTACAATGTCACCCACCCTACCCCAAATAGGCAGGATAGGTGCTGAAACACCCCCTGGTGGGTGGGGCAGCCTCACCCCTCCTTTTTGCCAACACCACTCCTAGCAGCACCTCTCCTTTCCTATTGACTAAAGCAGAGACCATCTCTTCCAACCAAAGGCAGGAGGAGGTTAGTGATAGTGATAAGTTAGCACACTGGGTGACTGGTGACACCGACTTTAACCAACCCTAGTGACAT